GAGCCTGGGCACAGCAACCTTGATCCTGGGCTGTGACACCGAGCCTGAGAGAGCTCCTGGCTGTGACACTGAACCTCAGACAGCAGCCCTGCTCCGGGCTGTGACACCGGTGGCACCGAGCCTGGGCACAGCAGCCCCGCTGCTCCCAGCCCTCCCCAGGCAGTTTCACCGTGCCCTGACCCGCTGCTGGTGTTCTCACTCCTGCAGGGTCAGCACGGAACTGCTGTGCCCCGGAACCCGGGGTCAGGGCTGTGCTCAGTGCCCAGCCAGGGGACAGGGAGGTGCCACACGGGCGCCTGAACGCTGTCACTGTTCCTCGGAGGAGCAGGAAAGAGTTAAAAGCAAACAATTGCTGACATCGCTCTGCTTTGTCTTGCGGTAAATACCCAACAGAGCCAGGAGCAGGTGCCCAGCCTGGCACTGAGCTTTTTTTGGGGGATCTGGCACAGGAGAACGGGATGCCCCAGGCTGGGATTTGCTGCAGGAACAGGACAGAGCCATGGGGAAACTTCAGCCAGAGCTGGTGCTCTCGGCTGGAGCATCACCTGGGGGTCCCAAAGCAGGTGGCACCTGGCGCTCAGCCTCATCTCCCTCACTGCCAGGTGAAGGCTCCGTGTCTGCTGGCCATGGTGCCACCAGGGTGGGCTGGCACAGCGTGGGGTGACCGAGCCCACGGCTGTTTTCTCCTCCTGAACCCCCCGCGTTCCCACGGCTCGGCTCTGGAGCAGGGGCCTGTGAACGGATCCAGCCTCTGGCACAGCCGCTGCTCCGGGTGCTCCGGCAGGAAACCGGCACTTGTCCCTGTCCCCTGGGCTTTGCCTCGAGCTCCCGCTGCGCTGGCCAAGGAGGGGCTTTGTTTGGGGGGGTCAGGGCTCCAGAGCCCCGGGTTTATGCTGAGCTGGGAGGGCAGCCAGGAACAGGGACAGGGACAGGGACAGGGACAGACCCGAGCGCTTCTTGGGAAGCCAAATAGAGCGGATGTGAGGCCAGCCCCGCCGCCCCTCACACAGTGCAGGATGCAGGGGATGGATCCGCGCTGCTCTGCCTTTCCTCATCCCCGGCTGCTGGGAGCTCTGCTGTCTGCTCTGCCCGGTCCCTTCGGCTCGGACAAGGGTGGGGACCGGGTCTCCAGCACCCAAATTCCCGTCCCCATCCTCTCCATCACCCCTGCCTCCAGCGTGACTTGCCTGGAAGGAGCAGGGAGGTGTCACCCCTCGGAGCCGTGGGCGGACAAACCCCGATCTCAGGCGGGTGCGGGAGGCGTTGGCAGCGCCAGGTGCCCGTGCCAGGCTGCTCCAATGTGTCACCGCTGCTTAAACACTTCCAAGGATTTCCCAGCAGGGAGCGGAGCTCGTGCCGCGGGTGCCCGGAGCAGCGATCGCGGCAGATGCGGGCGGTGGGAGGGGCAGCGGCTACCGGGGAGGGAAAAAAGGGGGGAAATTCTCCATCCGAGGAGAAAATCTGCGGGCGGGCGGCAGGGAAAGGGCTCTGCAGCAACGGGACACGGCAGGGCTGGGGGAGGCAGGGTGGGGTCTGCCCGGGCAGAGCTGCTTCCCGTGGGGATGTCACCCCCCGTGCTGGCCGTGTCCCCTCCGGGCAGGGCGGCTGCGACCGTCACACAGCACGGGGTAAGGAATAACCCAGGGAAAATGCGATCCCAAAGATCCCGGTCTCCTCGCACCAGGCCGGCGCGTCCCCCGTGGTGTCACACACCTGTGGCTCCTCCTGAGGTCCCCCTGTGCGTCCAGGTGCACCCACGCGCTGTGGGGCACAGCCCCAAAGCCAGCCGGCCCCGAGGGTGGCACGGGGGACCCAGCAGAGCCAACCCGGCCGTCCCTGTGCCAACGGTGGCACTTCGGTGCCGAAATGCGCCGCGTCGCCGTGAGCTGTCTTTGTTTTCCTGGCGAGGCGGCTCCTCCTGACCCGTATCCTTCCCAGCGCTTGAAAGCCAACCCAGCCGAGAGGAGCCCGGCAAGGACCCCCGAGGCCACGGGGTGCTCACAGCCGTCCCCTCAGGTGACATTCCTGCCTGACCCCGTGAGAGGAGGGGCACAGGCAGGACAGACCCCGCTGTCCCCTCAGATGCTCGTCTGCAGGTCACCGTTGAGCAGGGTCCTCTGCGTCTCCGTGGTCTCGTTGAGCCGGGACTTGTCCTGCTTGCTGTCGCTGCGGTCGGCCTCGTCCATGCCGCTGACCTTCACCAGGCACAGCACGTTCTGAAAGCTCTTCTTGAAGTTGTCGGACAGGAAGGCGTAGAGGATGGGGTTGGCACAGCTGTTGGCGTAGCTGAGCACCACCACGAAGTCGAACATGCCCTTGAGCACGGGCGTGGGCACGATCATGACGGACACGGAGGAGACGTTGAAGATGTAGAAGGGGAGCCAGCAGAAGATGAAGACGGCGACCACGATGGACACCATCCTGGTGACTTTCTTCTCGGATTTTTTCCTCTTGGACGAGCCCACCCTGATGCCCGAGGACTTGACTTTGATGATGATGAACAGGTAGCAAAGGCAGATGATGGTGAGAGGCACCAGGAAGCCCAGGATGAAGGCGTAGATGATGAACCCCGTGTACCAGGCGCCCGACTCTCCCGGCCAGATGATGGTGCAGCTACTCCTGCCGTGGTTGTGCTGCACCCCAGCATAAATCATGATGGGCATGATCACCAGCAGGGAGACGCCCCAAACGGCCACGTTGATCATTTTGGCTGTCCTGGGCCGCCTCCACTTGGCAGATTTGATGGGATGGACCACAGCCAGGTACCGGTCCACGCTCATGACCGTCAGGCAGAAGATGCTGGTGAACTGGTTGATGCCATCCACCGTCATGACAATCCTGCAGAGGGCTTTGCCGAAGGGCCAATGCACCAGGGCCACCTGCATGGCCAGGAAGGGCAGCCCGAGCATGAAGAGCTCATCTGCGATGGCCAGGTTGAGGATGTAGATGTTGGTGATGGTTTTCATCTTGGCATAGCGGAGGATGACGTAGATGACGAGCGTGTTGCCGCACAGCCCGATGATGCAGACCACGAAGTAGATGAAGGTGAGGATGGCATTGCTGGTCAGGTCGAAGTGCTGGCCCGTGGCGTTCTGGGAGGTGTTGGTGGGAGCCTCCAGGGAGAAGTTGTCGAAGGGGGACGCCGGGGAGAACCAGAAGGCGGTGGCGTTGGGCAGCTCGTACTCCAGCTCCATGACTCTCCTCCCCATGGGCGCTGCTGGCTCAGAGGAGCCGAAATGTCATCTTCCCTGGCTCTGGGGAGAGATGAGAAGATTCTAGAAATCAGGGAGTAAATAGAAATGAAGGGATTCCTGGGGAGGATCTGTCCATCCTGCTGCCAAGCTCAGCGCGACAGAGGCTCCCCGCAGGGGGGGGTTCCCAACCCACTCCCCACGTCCCCTGCTGGAGCACTGCCCATCCTGCCCGAACACGCCTCAGCTCCTCCTGGCTCTGGCGATCCCGGAGCCTTTACGACTCCACAAATCCAATCGGTGCGTCCCGGTGATGCCCGGGAGCACCGAGCGCCGGGGGAAAACCTCCTCCTCTCCCGGCCGCTCGGCGGGTGCAGCCCCTTCCCTCCCAGCCGGCACCGGCACACCGAGCCCGGGCGGCTCCGGTGGGCGACGAACTCGCTGCGGGGACCCCCCAGCCCCGGCCCCTCTGTGTCTCCGCCGCAGAGGGCACCGGGCGGTGCTGCCCCGCCGCTCACCTGCTCCTGCCACCGCCCTGCCCGGCCCGGCGGGCACCGGGGAGGCGCCGGCAGCGCCGGGTCCCCGCTGGGCTCCGCTCGGTTCGGCTCCGCACGGCTCCGCGCACCCGCTCCCGGCGCGGCTGGAGCAGCGCACCGGCTGCGCCCCGCCCCGCGCGGGGCGGCTCTGCGGGGCCGGGGCGGGGACAACCCGCGGTGCCCAGCGCTGCCCACCCTGCACTGCCCACCCTGCACTGCCCACCCGGCAATGCCCACCCTGCTCTGCCCACCCTGCACTGCCCATCCTGCAGTGCTCACCTTGCTCTGTCCACTCTGCTTTATCCACCCTGCAGTGCCCACCCGGCAATGCCCACCCTGCTCTGCCCATCCTGCAGTGCTCACCCTGCAGTGCTCACCCTGCAGTGCTCACCTTGCTCTGTCCACTCTGCTTTGACCACCCCGCAATGCCCACCCTGTGGTGCCCACCGTTCCCGCTCTGCACAGCCAACCCTGCACTGCCCTCCCTGCCTGCTCTGCCCACCCTGCCTTCGTTCCCTCTCCTGCAGTGCCCATCCTGCCTCCAGCCCTGCCTCCCCACTGTGCAGCAACATTTTGGTTCCTCAGCCTCTCCAGAGCCACCAGCAGATGGACAGGGAGATGGCAGCGTGAGGCTGCGTGTGGCATCGTGGCCCAAGAGGCTTCTGAGAGCCCCAAAGTCTCCCTGGAACTGCTTTGGCCCCAGGAGTTTCCATTTTGTCTCCACAGCCAAGCCAAGGCAGGTCCTTGCTGGTCCTCCCAGCTGGGAGAGGTCGGAAGGTGATGCCGAAATATTTGGGGTCTCTGGGGACTTGTGCAGGACAGGTGGCTCCTGCCACGGCCCCTCCCTGGGGGAGGAAACACAAAAAGGAGAGGTCTGGGGCAGATAACCTCTGCTCTGGTTTGTTTGGGATCTTGAGAGCAATTAAATTATCTCTATTCCTGCCCTTCTTCCCATCGCTTGTCCAGGAGACAATAGAGAGCAGGAAATTAAGAGTGACTGTGAACAAAGAGCCCCGCGCTGAGGCTGCTGAGTGCGGCCGGGAGCTTCTGGTTTTCACTTCGCCATCCACTTCCCCAGGCGGATCTAAAGCCATCAGGTCCTGGAGCAGCGGCAGAGTCGTTATCAGCCTCATTAATCTTTAGGAGGCAGGAAAAAGCTGCTTGTGCTGGAGATGATGTGGGAATTAATGTCCCGGTAATAGAGGAGGGAGGGTGTGCAGGGGATGCTCGGCTGGTTGAGTGGGGAGCGGGATCGGATCTTTGGGGTGCTGCTGTTGGGATGTCCCTGGGGTCTCACCACAGTTCAGGGGAGGAGGGAGGACAGCCCAGGAGAGGGGTTTGGTGCCTTGGGACCTTTCCGGAGCTGTTTTATCCTCCCCTGTGCCCAGGAGCGATGTCCTGCCCGTGCCCTTCCCTCGGCAGTGGGAAGGAGCAGCCCGGCTGGAGCATTCCCAGCGCTGCCTCCTTGAATTTGTCCCCTGCCCGTCACTCCTCTGGGCTCCTCGGTCACCCCAGCCCTGGCAGGGGCCTCTCCCGGCTGGAGAGAATCCAGAGGGCAGGAGCAGTGAGGCAGAGGGAGCACAGGGATCCCAGGCTGCTTCCAGCTGGCTGGGGCTGCCCGTGGAGCATCAGGGCTCCAGCCTCTCCCTGCCTTTCACTTCCACCTCACTGAGAAACCGGGGCCAGGGGGAGCCCAGCCAGTTCAGCCTGGCTGAACCCAGATCTAATCTTCATTAAAAAGCCCATAAAATTAATGAAATGATGGCCCGGTGGGTACTGAGGAGCTGATCGGAGCTGATCTCCATCCAGGAGGAGGGCAGCACCAGCTGCCTGAGTTAAGAAGCCACCCTTGAGCCTTTTGAAGGGATTTTTTTTTTTTTTTTTCATTCTGCTGGTTTTGGGGCTGAATTAAAGCCTGGTGCAGAATCTGCATCGCTGGGTGGTCCCTGGTTCGGAGGGAGCTGTACCAGCAGCTGGTTTGGTGCTGGCAGATAAACTCCTCTTTGTCCTTTTGCCTGGGAAGCATCCACTGCGCTGAAAAGCGATTTACTGGCAGGGCTGGAGAGAGGAGGAACACACAGCCCCTTCCCACACGGCCCAAATAACCCCTGGGAGAGGGGCACGGGGGTTACGTGACCACAGAGAGCTTCTAAAAACCCTTCCAAGTTTTCTGCCATCCATTCTGAGCTGTCCCTGTGGAAAAACAGCGCTGTCGACCCCTGTCCTGGAAATGAGTGTTGTAAGGAGCTGGGGCCGCGATGCCAATGGAGGGGTAGGGTGAGCTGGCCTTTCTCCTGGATCCGTGGGATGGAGGCAGGAATGAGGGAGGCTGGGCTGGGCTGTGGGGGGGTGCAGCTGCTGTTCCCCATTCTCAGGAGGGGAAGGATTTGCTCAAACGTGCAGCCAACCCGAGGATCCCTGTGGATCTCTTGGAGATGATGATGGATCTCCCTTCTGTGCTGCCCCGGCCCCTCAGAGGGTCCCCGCTGTCCCCTGCGGCCGTGGGGACAAGGCTGGCACAGGCAGGGGTGACCACCGTGGTGCTTCTGTCCCGGGCACGCTCGGGCTGGCACTGCCCTTTCCCTGCCTTTTCCCTGCCCTTTCCCTGCCCCTTCCCTGCCTTTTCCCTGCCTTTTCCCTGCCCTTTCCCTGCCTTTTCCCTGCCCTTTCCCTGCCCCTTCCCTGCCCAGCTCCAGCCCAGCAGCCCCGGGTGGCTGCGGTGCCTCTGCTGATTCCTGCCTGGAGGCGGCCTGGCTGCTTTTCAGGGATGCCCAGGCTGGGGGCAGGCTTCGCTTTCTGCTAATTAGCCAGACAATCAGTCTGGGCCATGTCCCCGCACCCCGAGGCGCGGCAGGACCCGGCTGCTGCCTGCCAGATTTAATCGGGAGCGTCTGCAGCGCTGATGGATGGAGAGGGAGAGGCTCTGGCGCCTTCACCTGCGCCCGGGGCAGCATCCAGAACTCTCCCGGGATCCAGGGCAGCATCCAGAACTCTCCCGGGATCCAGGGCAGCATCCAGACCCTGCTGGGATCCGGGGCAGCATCCACACCCCGGCATCCAGAGCAACATCCAGAACCCTCCCGAGATCCAGAGCAGCATCCACACCCCGGGATCCAGGGCAGGATCCACACCTCGGGATCCAGGGCAGGATCCACACCTCGGGATCCAGAGCTCTTCCCAGCCCTCGGGGGTCTCTCCTCCACGCCCCACCCCGGCTCCTGCTGCTTCCAGACCCCCCCAAAGCCGATTTCTTCCCTCCCTTTCTCGCCCTCCCCTCCTCGCCCCGCCGTTATTTGCCTCTGTAATTGGTTTATTGATCTCTGGAGGGGCCGGGGCAGGGCTCGCTCGGTTCTCGGTGAATCACATCCCTGACACTAATGAGCCTTTGGCAGCCCCAGCCCGAGATCCCGGCTCCTGTCCCCGCTGTGCCTGGCTCGTCGGAGGCTCCTGCGCATTAAACCGGGGCTGAACAGGCTGGCTTTGGCAAGCCGGGCTTTGTTCCAGCTGGAAATGTCACGGCTGGTGACAGCACGCGCTGAGCTCGGAGCAGCTGCTGGGACTCCCCCCAGCCTTGCCGAGGGTCCCTCGTGTCCCTCCCGGCGAGCCCGGAGCCAGAGCAGAGCGATAAAAGTGTCCCTTTGTCACAAAGAGGTGACCTCAGCCAGTGCGATGGCACCGTGACCCCGCCTGTCCCCCTGCCCTGTCCTTGGGGACAGCCCTGGATGTCCTCACTCCCTGTCTCGCCATCCAGGCTGGCTCCAGCCTGACACAGATGGATTTGGGTTGGGAAAGAGCCCGGCCCTGAGCCCAGCCTGCACGGAGGGGACACTGCAGGGACACACTGCCCGTTCCCAGGGACATCCCAGCCAGCAGTGCCTGCTGCCAGCCCCGTGCAGGGTGTGCCTCTCTGCCCCAGACAGTTCGATGGCAAAAATAATCCCAAAGGATTTGGGTTCTGGCTGCCCCAGAGCTCCCTGGAGCTGCTCCTTGTAAGGTCTCGTTCAGCTTGATGGGAGATGGCACCAGATTTGAGTCCCTTTTGGTGTTTAAAGTGAATTTTAGGGGCTCTGGGTCTCCCCCTTCCTGCTGGAACAAGGAGAGGGAGCTGCCAGCCCTCCTGGCCAGGGCTGTGACACGGAGGGGACAGGCAGGGCTGTGACACTGAAGTGTCCATGCACACAGAAGTGACACTGGGGAACGAGGGTGGCAGTTGATTTTGCCACCACAGCTGTCCCCATTGGCAGCCACACGTCCCCAGGCAGGGCCACCATCGCTGCCAGCCTCCCCCAGCCCGTGTCAGTGTGTCAGCCGTGTCCCCAAGGCCAGCCCTGTCGGGTCACCAGCTGTCCCCAGCCCTGCCAGCGCTGTCACAGCCCACTGGGGATCCCCGGGGTGGCAGAGGGACACTCTGTGTTTCTGTCCCCGTGTCCCTCCAGCCTGGCCCCGGGAGCTGATGAGGGATGGAGCAGTGGCAGGGCCAGGCTGAAATCCTAAATCAGGGAGGTTCCTGCAGCCCTGACCTTTCCCAGCTGGGGCAGCGTCAGATAAATCCATAAAAACCTGTCCCTCTGCCACCCCTGCTCCTCCTGCAGGGGACACCGGGGCTCTGTGGCTGTGTCCCAGCACAGGGGGGATTGGTGACATTTCCTCTGCCACCCTGCAGTGATGGTTTTGGGGATGTCCAGGTTGGACATCGAGAGGAATTCCTCATGGGAAGGGTTGTGACACATGGAAGGAGCTGCCCAGGGAGGTTCGGAGGTGACAGCCCTGGAGGTGACACTGAATGCTCTGGGCTGGGGACACGGTGGGGAATCACAGCTGGCACTCGGTGACGCCAGAAATCATTTCCAGCCTCAATAATTCTGGGATTCTGGGCCATCCACGGGTGACTCCGAGTGCCAGGCACGGCCACCAGCCACGGAGCGACCTCGGTTTGGCCCCGTGAGCTCCCCCAGGCTGCCACGAGCTGCTCATTAAGGTTGTTAATTAGCAGGGATAATTACGGGCAGCGCGGGGGTGGCATTAAGGGGTGGGCGGGCTCTCAGGGCACTCCAATGGCAACGGGAAGCGGAGTCCGGAGGTCTCTTTGCAATGAGGGGCGGTGACAATGACAG